CCGGATGCCATGATCTTAGTTTTTTTGATGTTGAGCTTCAAGCCCACTTTTGCGCTCTCCTCTTTTATCCTGAGCAAGAGGCTCTTTAGGTCCTCTTCACTTTCTGCCATTAGAGTGGTATCGTCTGCATATCTGAGGTTGTTGATCTTTTCCCCAGCAATCATCCAGGCCAGCATTTTGCATGATGTACTCTGCATATATATTAAATAAGCAAGGTGATAATATATATCCTTGTCGTACTCCTTTTCTTATGCTAAACCAATGAGTTGTTTCATATCTGGTTCTAACTGTCGCTTCTTGACCCTTATACAGGTTTCTCAAGAGACATGTGAGGTGGTCTGGTACTCCCATCTCTTTAAGGACCTGCCATAGTTTGTTGTGAAAAGTACCATCGAAGAAAGGCTGCATTATATAGACCGACAGCGAAATTTAATAAAAGCCCCTTGTTTCCTGGCCCTCAGAGAGTCCAAATATGTTATGAATATGGCCAAATATTTTACGTATTTGGATGTGCCATCTCATAGAAGAGTTTTTCCTTTGGCTTGTTGTGCAGTTATCCCTTCAAGGGTTCTAGATGCGAAATATAGGAATATCCCATATGAAGATAGATGCTGCCCTTGTTCTATTGAAGAAGAGGAATCGATGGTTCATATGTTCAGGTGCCCATTTCAAGTTCATAGGGATAAATTTATATCCCCATTTTTAGACAGACCATCAGTAGATGCAGATGAGACCTGCCTGGAGAGACTTTTAATGAAAATTCAATTATCTCCAGACCAAATAGACAAATTCTGCTTCTACATGGTAAAATTTCACAATAAGCAGTATGGTTATGTATAGTTTTTATTTGTAGGACTTGTAATCATTTTACATATATTAGACGTTTTAGATATATCTTAAGGTTTTTTATTATTATTATAGTTCATAAATAGTTTAAGGTTTTTATGACTAAACATATTTTCTGTGCTGGAATGAATCTCTTTGACTGTATAATATTTATTTATTTATTTTGAGATTTATATCCTGCCCTTCCAAGCGGCTCAGGGAGGCTAACAAGCGGCTAATGCCGGATTAAATAGATAAAATACAATAAAAATATTACATATCCACAATAAAATTCATAACAGTATTTAAGGTGCTCTGTTATCCTGTATATAAATCCCCAAGATGGACAGTAATCCCAAATCGACAGCCAGCTTTATTAAATAGCGAGGGCTCCAGCAGTGATGTTCTCCCCACTTCCGCCAGGCAACACATACCCCCCCATAATAGGGGTAGATGATGGAACAGTACCACGGTGGTGGAATAGTGGTGGTGGCAGCTCCTGATCAAAAGCCTGGCGGAAGACCTCCAGGTAGGAGCTGCCACCGAAAACACCCTGGCCCTAGTTTGGGCAAACTTAATGGGTCGGGGGCCTGGAACTTCCAGGAGGTGGAGCCTCCCCAATCGTAGTGCTCTTGAGGGAACATACGGGAAGAGGCAGTCCCTTAGGTAAGCTGGACCCCGGCCATTCAGGGCTTTAAAGGTAAGAACCAGCACTTTGAAGCGAATCCGGTATGCTATCGGCAGCCAGTGCAGCGCTTGCAGCATTGGCCAGATGTGGTCCCATGTGATCCCGTCTAGGGAGACCCATCAACAGCCTGGCTGCAGCATTCTACACTAGTTGCAGCTTCCGAATTTGCGACAGAGACAGTCCAAAGTAGAGAGCATTACAGTAGTCTAGCCGTG